ATTATTTTTCTCTGGCCCCTGAGTACTGTAGCCAGCCTTAGTACTTTACCACAGCCCTGCATGCAGCCAGCCTCAGGGAACTGTAGCCATTTATTACAGTCCTGCCATTCCTTGAACTGTGCCCAACAAATATTGAATTCAGCTGAGAAGCTAGGCCATAGAGATCATATTGAACACCATTGAAATGTAGCTATTTCTGGGAGGAGAAGCCTGCAGTTGATAACAACAACACCACAACAAGAAGTCAGAAGAGAAAGTAAAAAAATACCATATCCAATTGAAATTGCTGTAGGAATAGCTTTAGGCAAAATTTAGTTACACCTGCTGAAATCTGGCTGGGAAAAAAAGGTTTAACGTTCCTTCTTTAGTGACATAGTGAATGCAAGGAATCCAGTCAGCTAGAGCCGACAAGAACATGGAGGGAGAGGGGACTTAGCAACTTTTATATTTTTCTCTTAATGTCAAAATTCCCATTATTGTTGAAAATTTGCCAAATGGATCTAGAGCTGATCCCATTTATAAGTCTGCCTCCTCAGAGAGAGGGCTTCTTCAGTAGTACCATGTCCACTAAGAACATACTGGGGCTTTTGTTTAAGATCAACTCAGAGGCAAGAGTTCTAACTACTGAATTACCAACACCCTTTCTGCAGCACCTGAATATTCCTTAGCATTCTCCTATAGATCGGATTCACACTTGACATGCTATTGGTACAGCTGCAGGCACATTTTTTATCAACTTGAGTCTGAGGTTTGAAGTTCTAAAGGAGGAAAAAGTGGAGAGCTAAGCTCTTATCAGGTATATTAACTTGCACATGAACATTTATCTAAAGAGTATCCAAGCACTAGTGATGGGTAATATTAATAAATAATCATTTTTCATATTCTGAATAAAATTCCTACAGAACTTGTTAACCTCAAATTAAAAATGTTTACTTGACAATCCATAAGCTAATGGACAAGGGCATTTGAGTGGCTTTCAGAAGACACAAGAGAAAATGTTTTTCTGTTACAAACTTTGAAATATCATGATGTAAAGAAAATAATTAAGGGCAAGGTTCTGATCAACCTTTAAAGGAGTAAAGGGATTTTCCCTCACCATGTACAGACTGTGTGGGGTCTATGCTGGAGTTGCTCCAAAGCTGCTACCTTTCTTCCTAGAGCAGCTTGCTGAAAAGAAGGAAGGAAGTAGGTGAAACCATAATTTTGCTGCTCCACAAACTATATGGAGGCGGAATAAGAGTATATGCTTGATTCATTATACAAATGTCAAGAATTGTTTCCTTCCTCTTTTCCAACCCCTAAATATAATTGTTTGCCTCTCAGAGTTCCCCCTGATCTACTCAGTCCTCAACATTGTCAGGAAGGTGACTAAATGGCACAGTGTAACTCTACATAATTAGCTTTTAAAATGGCCAGTAGTTTAGAAACTGAGCTACATATTGCCCTGGATAGAGTCATTCTTTTTACAATTTTAAGGTCATTATAGTGACTGGCCACAGTGCAAAACAATAATGACCGAAGGGGATGGCTTTTCCAGACATGGAAACCCAATGCAAATCCCACTGAAGTCAATGGGAGCTGAATCATACCTCTTTTGAGCAACTGGAGGAGTCTTCAACTGGAAGCATAGTCAAGAGTCCTTAACAAGACTGATCATTAAGGCTACGTCTATGCTGCAGGGGTATCCCGGAAAAACTTGGCTGCATCCAAGGAACGCGTTTGCTCTTCTGCTTTTTTTTTTGCAGAAGAGGGCTCTTTGCAGAAGAGAGCCCTGTATACCTCTTCTGGAAAAGTGATAGGAAAAAGCTACTGAAATTGCTGAGCACAATTTGTGTAGCTTTTTCTGACAAAGGACTGTACTGTAGACCTAGCCTAAGTGACAGAAAATTTCCAATTCAGAGGCCATTGGTGCTTACATAAGCTGTGAAAACATAAAACATATTAGGAAAAAAATAAAGGTCAAATCCTCAGCTAGTGTAAATCACCATCATTGATGTGACTGAAATCATTGAAGTCAATAGTGCTACACTGATTTACAGCTCTTGAGAGTTTGGCCCCAAGTTGTTGAAGATGTACTAATTGAAGTATATGTAGCTATGGATAAGGTGCTTTGATTACAGCTGTGATCTTTTCTGGTACTTATATACCATTTCAGTAACTAATTAGAAAGTATGATGTTGTTCCTGATATTCTGTAAATTTTTCTTATTTAAGAATTTATTACACATTTCTCTCTCTCTTGATATCCCTAACAAACTTCAATTTTGTATTTTTTTAGATTCTTTCTAAAGTTTTTCCTCAAGTGCAATCAGAACTGTTTGAAGAATGCAGGCAACCCACGAGATATGCGAAGATTCCAGGTACAGATTTTAAAAAATGAAATAGGGATATGTTCAAGAACATAAGAATGGCCATACTGGCTCAGACCAATGATCCATCTAGCCCAGTATCCTGTCTGTCGACAGTGGTCGATATCAGATGCCCCAAAGCGAGGGAAAACAACAGGTAATCCTCATGTGATCCCTCTCTTGTCACGCATTTCCAGACAAACAGAGGCTAGGGACACCATTACTAACCTCCCTGGGTAATAGCCATTGATGTACCTAACCTACATGAATCTATCTAGCTCACTTTTTAACCCTGTTAAAGTCCTAGTCTTTACCACATCCTCTGTCAAGGAGTTCCAGAGATTGACTGTGTGCTGAGTGAAGAAAAACTTCCCTTTGTTTTAAACCTGCTGCCTATTAATTTCATTTGGTGACCCCTAGTTCTTATGTTGTGGGAATCAGTAAATAATTTTTCCTTATTCACTTTTTTTCACGCCAGTCATGATTTTATATCCCCCCTTAGTGTCCTCTTTTCTAAGATGAAAAGTCCTAGTCTTTTTAATCTCTCTTCATATGGGACCCGTTCCAAAACCCTAATCATTTTTGTTGCCCTTTTCCAATGCCAATATATCTTTTTTGAAATGAGGCAACCATATCTGAATGCAGTATTGAAGATGTGGGCATACCATGGTTTTATATAGAGGCAATAAGATATTCTCTGTCTTATTCTTCATCACTTTTTAAATGATTCCTAAAATTCTATTTGCTTTTTTTGACTGCCGCTGTACACTGAGTGGATGTTTTCAGAGAACTATCCACAATGACTCCAAGATCTATCTCTTGAGTAGTTGTAACCAAATTAGTGCCCATCATATAGTATGTACAATTGGGATTATTTTTTCCAGTGTGCAGATTGGATTGGATTCAAGATTCATTCATAAATTCCAAATAATTTACCATTATATTTTTCTGAAAAAAGTTGTCTTTTTTAATACAGTTAGTTTCAGAAGTGCATACCTTTAAAAATTATATATAAAACTTTTAAAAATATTTGCCTAATTTTTAAATGCATGTTCTAAGGAGTTGTTAAGTTCACAAGTAGACCATGGTGGATTGTTCTGAGGCAAGTGGAAATCACCAGTGATAATATTGCTGTAGTTTTTTCTCATATTAAAATCTTTACTGCTTATTAGGTTGCTAAGAGAAGTAGAGATGCTTTTTACACATGTATGATGAATAGCGCCATCTTAGTTTTAGCTAACATTTAAGCAGTCATGGAATTCAATACATTTTGGAAAAACTTTCTAGTTTTCACATTCAGATATAGTTCTGATAGTTTTGGTGCAACCAACATATTTTTATTCCAACTGTTTTAGAATCAGATTATTTTAATACTTGAATTTCCCCTTACAGCTATTGAAATATTCTGTGGTGAATCATAACAACTAGAGAAGGGAATCTGACTGGACAGTTGCTGAAAATAATTTCCCCCAAAATTTGGCTGAATGGAAATTGTTATTAAGAAAAGAATGATTTTTACTTCAAATTACTTTCAACATGATTCATACTTAGGATTAATAACCTAGGAATCAAGATGTTCAAAACTTTTTCAGAGAAGCATCACTTTTTCTAAGAAGCACAATTAAAGCTTATTGGAAAGTGTGTGACAGCTGTTTTCACACACAGATAACCTAATGTGGAAGTCAAAATACTTGAGCCAGCCAACAGTAAAAATCTGTAGCTGGAAAAAAAATTCTTTAAAACAATCGAGCCAAACTTCCATTTTTCATGAATCTCAGCTTTACGTGACATTGGTGATATTGATCCATCTGAACAGAGCAGAAGGTCAAACCTGGAATGAGTGGAAATGTCCTCTTTGTCTCACCGATGACTAAATGAAGCATCAGTCATGAGTGATCTTGTGGTTGACAAAGGAGTCAGTAGTCACTAGAAAGACTTCCCCGGGTCTCTTTAGTTAATCTCCCTGACTCTCAGAAGGTTTAACTGGACTTAACAGAATGTCAGGTCTGAACAATAATTTCAACTGGTTTCACTATCTCAGCACCTTTCTTTAGGTACATTGCAGGAATGAGCCAATAAAACAACATAGTATGTCTACTTTCTTTTGCTGAACTGCACTATTTTCCCTTGGTGACTGACCTATATATGGATGACAGAGCAAAGACAGTTGTCTCTCTCTCTCTCTCTCTCTCTCTCTCTCTCTCTCTTCCCCTGTTTTTCAATATATCATGGCCTAGGAAGCTGAAGAAAAAAATCTTTGCTGAGAATCACATTTTATCTGCTTTGCATACATAGTCTGCAGGTTATTTCTTTCAGTGATACTTAGCTTATTAAAAGTGAAAAGTAGATAGCCCAGTGACATGGCAATCGGACTGCAGCACAGGACACCTTAGTTAAAGTACAACTTCAGAACTCCTCACAATGGATGTTGAGGAGTGATTATACAGTCCATGTCTGTGGAGGAGTGTGCATGCAAGAGCACAACATACTTCTACAGAACGGTCCTCAAGCTAGCCTTAAGAGTGATAAAGATGGCTGCCTCTGGGAAAGCAGAATATAGCCAAGAAGGTGTTATGAAACCTATAAGCTAATTATGGGACCTAGAAACAAAAAATCAGGATCAGAGCTGATCTAAAACTGAAAATTAGGCAAGACTTTACATCAGATGCCTTGCATCCACATGTGCAAAAAGGGAAGGAGTTACAGTGTAGTTCTTACTCTTGGTTTCTCATTCATTATGGTGCATATGGACTAAGTATTCAGAATGTCATTTTTTACTGAGATATTGCATCCGAAATATAGACTGGCAAGTTTGGGTACTAACTTTTACCACCATTATTAGTATAGTTGGATGAAGAATGGCTAATATTGACAAACTCTGGCATTATTTCAGAGAACTCTTCTAATCTTAATTATATTGAAAATACCACAGCGATTACTTGAGTCGGAAAATCTGGACTCCATCCACAATGGCCATAGCAGAGAACTGATATTAAACTTAAATTTATATCTGAGGTATTCAAAGTATTTTGGAAACCAAATCAAGCAATGGAGCCCACATTATAAACACACATTCTCTTACCTCCAAACAAAACTTATATTTTCTCTTTCACTTACGTATTGTGGAGTATCATTTCCAGGATGAATTCACAAACCAATTGTGAAGGTGTTTTTGTCAGCAAGGTTGTGCATTTTGCATATGTTCCTTTTCCAATTTCTACTAAAAAGCAGCTGGAAGGCAAAGAAGGCCCTATCCATCATCTCTTCTATGGCCGGACTCTGAACCTGGACACAAGAATAGGAGCCTTTCACTCAAAAATAAAGGAGGAAATTCCATTGACATACCAGGGTCAATCACCATCCAAATGAACTTGAGAAGGGATACTTTTCATGGATTGAAAACACTTTCACTATTCATATTCAACTCAGTCTTTTCAGATGCAAAAAAGTTCATTATCAGACATTAAATGTAATTGTAAAACTGACCTGGAGATCATTTACTGAAGAGAAATGGGGAGTTACAAGGCTTTCTGATTTATTAAGCATTTTTTTTCTGATTTGGAATCCTCAGAACCCTTCATTTGGAGACAGTCTCAAGTGAACAATTTTTAATTAGATAAACTATCTAATCAATATATCAACAGATCAATCAAAACAGCAGCTTTAAAAATGAGTGGCTAGAGGGGTGATTCTGAAACTAATGGTTAGAAGAATATTTCCCTGAATTGAATTCATTTGTTAGGATAATAGGAGATTAAACTCTAATTAGTGTAGCAGGTTTTGAAGAGAAACAATTGAGATTTAAAAATTCATCAGTGTTAGCAAAAAATGTGAGCAATTATGCATATATCTATTTAAAGCAGAAAGTAATGGACTTGTCTACAACATTTAAATTTCTAAAAATATGCGTCTTTTAAAATATATTTGTTTTCTTTTTTCAGGTTGTTGTATCAACAACAGTCAATGTGGATGGCCACGTTCTGGCTGTCTCAGACAACATGTTTGTACACAACAATTCCAAACATGGAAGGCGGGCTCGCCGCCTTGACCCCTCAGAAGGTACGGCCCCTTCTTATCTGGAAAATGGTAGGCACACATTTACATGTCTTTTTTATTTGCAATGCTTTTTTGCACCATATTTTATGTTGATACACTACTACATTTACTTTTCATGATTTCTTCTCCCTTCACATTGATCAAACAGCCCATTAATATTTCTGACTCCATGTCAAACAGAATACAGCCCTCCAGTATTTGCTTCTGACTTCCTTTTCTTTATTTAATCCATAAAGTTCTATAGTCACAGCCAGTTTTTCATCCCTTTTTAGTCTTTTTTTCTTGGTTTAAAAGCCTTGTTTTGCTTGAAGCTTTTTCTTGCTGTTTAATTTAATTTAATTTTATTTTATTTTGGCTTGTCATACTCTTCGATCCAGAGGTACAGTCTCAGGTTATGTATGCACGTTTAAATGGATGGTAAAAACATGACCAAATCTGTAAGGAATTTACTGTGAGGTCAATTTCCTGTTGCTGGGCCCTACTGCTCCCGATTAAAGCAGTAGGGCTTTTGTGCGAGAAAAACAGTATAAAATGTTTTTCTCCTCACTGATTCACGTTGATTGACTTCTTGCCTGATCTTCTAAAAGAAAGTAATTTGTGGGGAAAAGAACAGTGGAAACTATCCCCAAAAATTCCGAAACTCCTGAAATGGTTTATTTTTGCAGCCCTTCAACCTCTGAATCTTGCACATCCATACACATATCTAAAGATATAACTGTACTAAAATGTCACTTTATACACACCATAACATCCCTTCACATAAACATGGATGAGTACTATTAAGGAATTCACTTTCTTATACGATAGTATGGTTAATTATTAAATATATTTTTAATAATTGAGGATTAAAAATTTCCAAAGATTTTTAAACCTTGCTACAGACTGCGGGACTGCTCCTACAAATACACTGACTTCAGTAGGGCTACTCAAGTGAACTCTTGTTACATGTATGCATAAATGTCAGCAAGATCATTCCCTATACAACAGTACAATTAAATCATTTAAAGTAACGACTGGAAATGTTCAGCTGCGATTACAACGAGTCTCATATTTTAAGGTTATGTGTTTATGTTCCACATAATACATACGGATACACA